TAATTGCAGATTGCACTTTTTTAATGATGAATAATATGTGCTTAATGCAGCAACTAGACAAAAGAACTAGCATGCGTGTTCATCTAGATAATGAATGAAACTATAGCTTCTAATAGAAAGTGAGATAAGGCTTTGATTGACTTGATTTGATTTTGACTTAAGCTCATAATTTTCAAAAAAAAAATCAGACGTGTCTAGAACGAACACTTCATTCTCCAGATTTCTATACCACGCCAACTTGAGGACTTTAAGTCTCAACATATTTCACATTGTTAATGTATCTACATAGCTGGTCCTAAGTGGAAACCAGGATTCGAACCCGTGACTCAAAAATGTTGTTCACTAGCTACTACGGCGTACATGTGTGAATTTCAGTTAAAAGTCAAGTTATTTACTAAGGTTTTATTTTATTATAAACTAAATAAATTTACATGTTCACCATAAATCTTTCCTACACTACATTCTGATAATTAAGTTTCTCAAAAAATATGAAAGTTGATTTCATTCTTCTTTCAAGAGATCACTAAAATGCTTTTAAATGAAATTTAGGCTTAAAAAATAAAAATGAGTTACTTTTTGAATAACAGCATATTGTCGCATTTTAAATACTGACAAATTATTTAAAATTTATAGTATAACTAAAATTACAAATTTGTATTGTATCTCCGTGATAATTATTCTGAGTTTTAATGTTTTGTAGAAGGTGAAACAAAATCTCTTAATAACTGTAGTAAAGGACGCAATTAGGACGTATTTAAGAAAATTACATTGTTTTATCAAACAAAAAAAATCATCAAAATAAGTACTAATTTTATTTTACTTCATCAATAAAGTAAAATAAAATTAAGGAATTAATCATTAATTAATGATATTTAATTACAAAAAAAAGTTTAAATGATATTCGAAAGATAAAATTCATTTTTATATAAAATATATAATTTTAATCCAAATATTCTTAAATATAATAAAATTTTTTATAAATGTACCATACTACCCATTATACACTCAATTCGCTAGGTATTTCAAGATGTTGTATGAATGTATACTGTTTATATATAAATTATTGATATCGTAAGTCCTAGCATTAAGTGTTCCAATCTATTGAAAAACATTTTTACAATTCTCAACACTTGATTTAAAAAGGACAAGACTTTTAAATAATAATTTCTAAGTCTGAAGTAGATTTATCTTTTATACTAATATAACTTTCCTCCCCCACACATGATTTTCGCAAAACCCCTTTTTAGTGGATTTCTACTCAATACAATGAAAATGCTTGCCAAATTTCAAATCTAAATCTAATAATTCAAAAGCAGAAATATTTTTATTAATAAGACTATACCCCCCGAGAGTCGATTTTCGTAAGACCCTCTCTTAGCGGGTTTCAGTTCAACAAAAGAAACATGCATACCAAATTTTATACTGTAATTCTAAAAGTACGAAAATGGAATTTTTTATCCATACACCCCAGCAACTCTCCGCTGCTCACACAGGAGTCAATTTCCGTAAAATCCGTTCTTAGCAGATTTTTTTCAACAAATGGAACACGCTTACCAAATTTCGAGTATATGAGGGTCTAACGGTTCAAAACAGGAGTTTTTATCTATAACGCTCCTTTTCCCCTCGCAACCCCCTTTCCTGTTTAATTTTAGCAAAACCCCTTTTGTTGCAAATCGTTATTCCATGAAAAGAACGTTCTTACTAAATTTTGAGTCTGTATGTGTAATAGATCAAAAACGGGAATATTTATCTATGACACCATTTAAGCCCTAACAAAGCCTCTTGGCCGTCGATTTTCGTAAAATCCCTATTGTAGCGGATCTAATTCGTGAAAAAAACGTGCCTACCAAATTCCAAGTCTGTAGGTCTAACAGTTCTGGATATATCGTGATGAGTGAATGAGTGAGTGAGTGAATAAGTGAGTAAATGAATGAGTGAGTGAGTCTCTCGTTTTTCTTCCTCCAAAATATAGATTACATATCTACTCTTACTTCAAGCAGGCAGAAATCAAGAGTTGTTCAAGTGTAGAAATTACGAAGGCGACTATAAATAAAATAATGTTCACAAAACTTAACCATTACACAGCGATAAAAAATTGTCTAGATAGTTTGAAAAAAAAAAGAAAAGAAAAGAAACTGTGCTACAGCAAAATCTTCTCTAGATTCCATAAACATTCCTAAAATTTTATTAAGCAAAATACGATATGAAAATGTAATGATTTTGAGCAAACTTCAAGTGGAAAACGACACAGTAATCTGTATGTTTGGCAACAACATTCGGAAATGGACGTATGTATATAAATAGATAAGGAAAAAAAAACTTTCATACATTATGTTGGTTGAATAAACATTCGCGAAGGACAGAACTTCTAGATTTGAAGTCATGAATGCAAAATCAAAATGTAAATAAAGCGCAGAAAAAGGACAAGAGGAAGAAAAGTAAAAATAGAGTGCCATTTATTTGCGATTAAACGACGCTGCGCGAGATTTTTTTAACTTAATCCATTTTTCCTTTTTGCCTTTCAAATGAAATATTTTCAACTTTATATTTGGATACTGACATTAAAATATGATTTCGAAGACGAATTTACCTTTTTGTATGCAAAAACAAACTATGCTTAATGGTATGCATACATATATATATATATAATTGAATGTCGTAAATAAGTTAAGCATTTTATCAAAAATGCTGGGAATAATGATTTATGTATGGGCTTATGATTAATGTGAAATGGAGAAAAGAGAAACGTTTTATAGTAAAGGTAAGGAAAAAAGTTATTTAATTCCAACTATTTTTCCAAATTTGTGTCTGATAAAATTGCATTAAAACAGTGCTTCTCAAACTTTCAATATCTGAGGCCCAATATTCAATCATCATTTTCATTGTGCCCCCATACAATAACAATGTATTAAATTCAATAATGCTATACTTTGACGCTAAAGTTTCAATACAGCTTGAAACTCTTAAGTGCCACCGGCGTATATAAACGTCTCACTCAGTCAAAGAGTTAATTGCTCAGACGTATATATACGTCTTTCCGCATTACGATCTTTTCTGTGAACTGCTATTCATAAAATTATTAGAAAGGTTTTGGAATGCAATAAAAAGACCTTGGCAATGTTTGCGAAGGATTTACTTATTTCAGAGTATTTGCTTATTTATTCCTTTTCTCGTTTATTCATGTATACAATTTTTATAAGCAAGCCTGTAGGATCAATGGTAATTATTAAACTTGTTCTTAACTTAGTATTGCTAAATTAATTATAAAATAAATTTTTTGCAGTACTGATACATTTATAAGAGTTTTATATCAATGTATATGTATATTTATTTCTTATTATGTCAAAATGTATTTTATTTGTATACTTTCAGAAAATTAATAATTTTTTATAAACAATCTTTTGTTTTCGACTTTTCAATATGTCTCGCGCCCCCCTCGTGGAGTTATCACGCCCTCCTAGTGGGGCGCGCCCCGCAGTTTGAGAAACGCTGCATTAAAATGTAATGAATCAAAATATTACTGTTCGTTAGATATATATTGTCATTTAAATAAAATTCATTAAAACTGCTTATTATCCTACTTATAAAATTCTGAGTAAAACAAATTTAATTCTATATGAATGGTGAGTGTTTATTAACTCGAACTATATATATGAGGGGTGATCATAAAAAAGGTTACAAGTCGAATAAAGAAATATTTATTAACAATAATAGATAAAAAATACAAAAGGGAATTAAGAAGCATACGTGCCTATCACATTTCAACATAATCACCAAGTCTCTCTATTTAGGTAGTTATTAGAACGCAGAACCAACTTGCATAACCCATCTTGGTAGAAATCAGGTCACTGTCCACTGAGTCAGGTCTCGGCGGATGATATCACAGCACTGTCTGGGAATATCGCAGCACATCAGAAACGATATGCTGCACGCAACTGTAGCTCAGTTTCAGCTCTGACGAGATTTAACGCAGAGTTACCAGTTGATCATTTTGAATCATTTCTCCAATTCATGACGTGGCTATTTCTGTCGTTGAAAAACTTGGCCGCCAGCTCCCTTTAATATTGCGGCTTTCAACATCCTGTCTGCGTGATTGAAAAAAGTGACACAATTTCGCTACATGTTGTCTTCTCATTGCAGATGCGAGGTACATTCATTGCTCATAAAAATTGAATCACCACTTGCACTTCCAAACGAGACAATTTCCTAAGAGTCTTGTCATTTAAAAGTCCTGAGCCATATGGGAACTTTCACTACATACCCGCAAACCAGCTGTATGACAAGTAGTGCCATTTGTCTCCTGTCTGGGGAAACAAAAGTTCTCCACAATATGTAGTTTTAAATGTTGAGGCTTGCAACCTTATTTTCTGATCATCCCTTGTATCACTAAAAATACTACTGGCGATGAACCTTGTAATTTTGAACCATGGTCAAGGGAAGAGATGGCACTCCCTCTCCGAATTTCCACACGAAAACGCCAACAAGACAACTCTGAGCCTCAAAGATTAAGCGTGCATCTGCTCCTCTGCATAGTAGGACTTCAGTGGGGCACTAGGGCTCCAACTCATGACACTTCGGCCTTGAGTTTCGTGATTATAACCGCTAGGCTACGTGAACGTGAATTATCTTAGAAATATTATTCTATTAGGTTCTTCTGATACATTAGATTACTATTACAGTAGGATTCATAGTTAAAAACAAGTAATATAAAGAAAAAAAGAATTAAATCAATTCCTACTTAGGTAAACAAAGAAAATTTTTATTTTTGTTATTTTTTATTAAATAGTTACAATTAATGTAAATATGTATATACATATGACAGAATCTCAATATTAAATGACAAAATAGAAAGCGATTTTCCTTGCAATTTTCCATTTTCCTTCCTATATAGGGTGTTGGACTATTTTTTATTTGTTTGTTACTATTTATTCATTAGTTAAATATAATTATTCTAATAAAATAGCATAGTATAAAAGAAATCACATTCTCAGAAATTAGGCCATCCCAGATGGGATTCGAAGCCACGAGATTTGGATTAGAAGTCCAAAGCGCTATCCATTGTTCTTCAGGGAATGAGCACTTTTCCTTTTATTTATGGTATTGGACTATTATTTTTGTTTGTTAATATTTATTCATAACTAAATTTAATTAATGAATTAATATTTGAAAAAACTGTCATTAATATCAAGTGTCATCCAATACAAATTTAAAAAAATCTAATTGAACTTGAATGGATGAATAGAAAGTATTTTGATAACGACTAAAAATTTGAACAAGATATATATATATATATATATATATATATGGAAATAGTGAATTAATAGTAGGAATTGAATTATTGCATTTTGAGAGAAGACAGTAAATTCAGGAGTATTATATTTCTTGGAAATCTGAACCATTATATACCTAGATGTTATAATTTATGTAATAATTTTAAAATGTAGCTGCAATTGGTACGTTTGTTTTTAAAATTAAATATTTCATTGAAACGAAAACTAAAATCTGTACAACAATTTTCTTCAAAGAAAGCTGTTTGATTTAATATTGCTACAATTCCATTTCAAATTTAAACAATTTTGGCTCTTTATTTTTCAATTACTAAAATATTACACCAAAGAAACAATATGATTTGATTTCTATTAAGCATAGCATACCCTAGCAATAAGAATGTGCCTATTACAGACGCAGCAAGAAAATTTATATAAATTGTCACTATAGAAAATGATTTAAAGGAAAAATTGTTGCATGAAAAAAAAATGGATTGAATGCATGTTCTAGTATAATTTATCCAGCCGAAAACTATGAATTTAAAACATATTGTTCATCATTTGCTCACGTAATTCAAAACATGCATTTATTGTTAATTTGTTATTTTCCTTGAAAGTGTTATTTTTCTGTGACATCAATACAAGATAAAATTTGAATGTTTTAAATCTCTTTTTTTCATTTTTGCTTTAGTTGAATGAATTCCGAGGTGGAAATATGGTGAGAAATTTGAAATTTATCCGAATGAATATTTATTTATATACTCTACGGCTAGTAAAAACACTATAATCCTGGGAAATAATTTTCGTAAATTATTCTTTATGTGATAATTAATTGTGCAAATTTGTAACACATGAAAAGGAAAATTAATTAAGAATTGCTCGTAAATTTGAAACTTTTTCCGAAAACTCTCATATTCATATAAAGGTACTTCAAATCTATATTAAACATCAAGAGTAGTTGGTACCCCCTAAACCGGCAATGTTAAATTGAGCTTTTTTAGGTTCCTGTTTCTCAGAAACTGCGAAATATAAAAACTTCAGATTTTGTCAATGTATTAATTAGGCTTTTTAAAATTATATTCTGTTTAAAATGTTTCAAATATACTTGTTTACTTTTTTCAAAAAAATTCGACGTAAAAGTATCACTATGAAATTTTTGAAATTTTTTTTTCCTATTTACGATAACTGCTTTTCAGCAAAATATTTTGGGAAAATCTCAAAAAAGTAATTTCAGTACGTATCATTTATATGCAGTAAAAATTACATGTGCATTCACTCAACAGATTCTGAGAAAAAGGTTACGCGCAGTTTGAAAACAATTATTTTGAGAAAATTGCATTTTTAAAGTAAAAAGGCACTTCATCAGAAAATAATGAATTAAAACATGTATTTGCCCTATTTTATTAAAGATTAGTATCTTCTTAATTTTTTTAGCATAAAATTGGAAACAAAAAAGTCTTAAAATGTTCAGAAAATACATATATAGTATAAAAGAATGCGAATCTTTCACTTGTTCGTCGAAAGCAGTGAACTTTGGTGTGGTTTGCAAATTTGGAGAGTGGTGTTCCAACTCAGGTGTTGTTCCCTTCACTTGACCGAGGTTTAAAATTACGAGATCCGCGTCACCATGAGCCCTCTCGAGTTGTTTTAGATTGTGATGTTGATCTAAAATAAAACCCAAACCACACCGAAGTTGGTAACATAATTCAACCAAATACTGAAGTGTTGTATGAAAGAGTTCAACCCATTTATGGATAAACTGACTAATAACATTTTCTGAGATCAGTATCATTTTTCTATTTCTTAATATAACTAGCTATCGTTCCTAACTATATTTTTCCCAACTTCAACCATTATATGAACATTTAGATAAGGAAATATTCATTCTCTTCTGCTGGAATATTTTATTACTTTATTTTTGTAGTCGTATGATATAGAAAATCGTCGTATATTGATATAATAAAGTTTTATTTTATCCTTTACATTATAACACTATATAAACGAAAATATTTTTTTTCTTCAAAGAGTTAATTAATTTTCTTTCTTCTTTAAACATAGGTTAAATAAATACTTCAGAACAAAGTTAATTAAAAAAATATTCAAAGAGATTTTATAGAACACGAAAAAGGAAAATTAATTAAGAACTTCTGGCATACATTTGAAACTATTTTTTTCAAAATATTAAACATTTATATTAAGGAACTGAGAATGAATATTAAACATTAATAAAATGAAATTTTCCTTTCTGAATATATTACACACACACACACACACACACACACACACACACACACACACACACACACACACACACACACACACACACACACACACACACACACACACACACACACACACACACACACACACACACACACACACACACACACACACACACGTGTGTGTGTAAATACATTTATATATGTAAGACGATGAAAATGACTATTTTTAATGAAATTAAACATGTGTAAAGCTCATAAACAAATAATTAAATGATAAAAAATGCAGCGAAGTAAGAGATAGTAACAATTCAATAGCATTCAATTAAATATTGACTGATAAAATTGGTCAGCCAATCCCTGGCATCAATGCATGCTTGTATATGTCGATGTTAAAAAGTGATAATCATTCCTTGCGATTCATTTTCCTTGCAAAAAACTCTCAATCGTTATTCTAGATCTGCAGCAATTCTGAGTCCCATATTTTTGTTCCATACATGCAGAACTGGTGATAGGGTTGGTGATATTGATGGCCAATGAAGTGTATCAACAGCATGGAGATAGTGTAGGAACATGTAAGACGTATGGAACTTTGAATTATTGTGTTTGTAAATGGGCCCAAAATGACGTGCCATGATGGGTAACACAACTGGTTGCAGGCCTCATCAGTATATCATTGAGCTGTTAGAGTTGTTCATAAAATGACCAGAGATGATCTGCATCGTAAAAGATTATTTTCATATTATCACGTCAGAAATAATGTTTATAGCCTTTATAAATTAGATTGGCTCTCTATACACCAATCTTTATGGTCTTCTGCTCCAAGGCTGACTCGAAATTCATCGCTGAACACTATAGAATGGTACTTTTGATGGCAGCTTTGATGATCGGCTACGACACCATGATATACGACTGACGATGTGGTGGGGCTAAGGGCAGACCAGACCCACCACATCCAAGAACATAGAGACTGGTAGAAAGTAATTTATTCATTTAGATGCAAATTTTCGAGATATAATCAAATGTAATTTTTGAGAGGATGTCTTTCTGAGAGGAAGATTTTTTGATGGTTTTCTTCTTTTTTTTTTTCAAAACAGCACTCACGCACTTTTTGCAATATGGTAGAATAAAAATAGCACCGACTGCGAAAATATACTTTTTTTCACTTTAAGCCATTTTATTTTGTTTATTTTAACGTAATTAATTTTTTGCAAAGTAAGATATGGGATAACTCAATGGTTGCAGCATCAATAGTTGATAGAGCTGTTGTTTACATAACATGAAAGTTAAAGAAAGAATGGTTAAAGTTATTTTTATTATCGGGAAATAAGTTTTCTTTATTAATTGAATCACCAAAAATGTGAATTTTTTTGAACCGCCCCAACGACTCGAAATTTCTACCGTCGTTACCCGGTGTAGAACACCAAACTTTAACTGATTTATTATGAAAATAAAATTAAGTCATTACGATGATATTTGAGTGAAAAGGGGTTCCTTGCCCACAAATAAAATTATTAAATTATTTATACAAATGAAAGATTTTAAGTTAATTTAAAGTAATACAGAATTTTCTTTTAAAAAGACAAATTTTATATGTTTTTCATTTTTTTTAAAACATATCAGTATTTTAAATATAGTTAGAATTTAAAATAATAGCACGAAAGTAAAAATAATATTTTATCATTTTAAGCCATTCAGAGCAGACTGTATACAAATGCTAAACTTCTCAAGTTTAGCCAGATTAATTTTTGCTCATTACATTACAATAGTTTCAAAAAGGGAACTTGCATCAGGCCTAATGGAAATGACTAAAATGAGGAAGGAAAACTGGGTTCTGACATTTTTTAGAATCTGGGAGATTTTTCTTGTTGCTGGGGTTACGGAACAAAACCTTGGGATTTGCATTTTTAAAGAAGGATTTTGTACCCGCGTGATTGACAAAATAAAGGATACCACAGATTGAAAAGTGATTAAAATAAAGCTTCAAACTAGTGATGTCTAGAGAACAGTCGCATCGGTTAGAAAAAGAGAACTAAAAATGTGTTTGATTTCTGAAACGAATAAGTGTCTTTAATCGTCATGCAAGGGAATTTGAGAATGCTTGTGGGTTAATAAAGTACATGAAATGTCTAAAGAAGACTTACAGAATGTGGTAGACGCATGCGTATCACTAACGAAGAAAAAGCCTTTACTTTCAAAAACTAGGAAGAACAAACGCCTTAATTATGCGAATATAAACGTGTTTCAAGGGAATTGAATAAGCGAGATACAGTCCTTGTTTTTTTGATGAATTCAAATTCTGCCTTAATAGATGGAAATGTAAGTGGTATGTAAAGAAACAAAAAACTAAGCACATCATCCCACTATATTTCGTCAACTGTAAAATTTCAGGGAGCAAAATGGTTTAAGAAAGTATGCATAGCAAAGGGACTTAACAACTGAATTTTTTCACTGAGCTTTTCGAATGCGTCAGTTTACACGAAGAATATTTAAAGGTAATTGGGATAACAATAATGCAGAAAACGGTATTTTTCAACAAGATTAAGAACCTTGTCATTCTGCTAAATCAGAGATTAAGAGATTTCAC